AACATCGCTCTCCGATCACCATGCGGAATACAGATCTCTTCCCTGTTGTCTTCGATCTTGCACGCCTTGAAACATTGATCCAAGCGAGCTAAGTACGCCACCCTGTCTACAGTGTCGTTCGACGTGAAACGGTTCTAAATTCTAATGCACCCACGAGGGATATTCTCAAACTTTGTCGCCAATTGTAGTGCATCTACTACTCAGGACTCCCGTACTGTCCTAACCACTCATCAAGGAGATAGCATGAAACGGTCTATATTGTCAACATGACAAGGAACAAGGATCAACAACAAAAACAAAAAAACTGAAGAGTTTACACGGTCTGACCTCGCTTATCCGGAGCCCTCGCCATCCGAAAGAAAATCGTCGGCTACCAATAACAGTAATAATGCCATGCATACGTACAGTACGTGTGTTCGATTACCTGGTTCCCTCGCCTATCCGGATAATTTTGTGGAAAACGGATGTGTGCGGATAAACGAGGTCTGACGGTACCGCCAAAATACCACGTGCAGCACTTGGAGCATGCGCACTATAAGAAAATAATATTATTGTGATATTATGCACGACGCACAGCTACATGTGACATAACGCCATCACCAGATATCACTTGTAATATTGAACTCAGATGGCAAGCCAATATAATTATGATGAAGAAAGGAAAGGGACTGTATAAGATCTGTTTACGTTGGTGGACAGTTTGTCATAACTCATAACATTTTGTCCTTTTCCTTTCTTCATCATAATTGTAATATTCTACCTGTTCGATATCAACTTGATCAAAAGGTGGCGATGTGGAAGTCGAGTGAAAGAAAAGTCACGGAAATAGCAACTTCTAATCACCTTTCTGTCTTTCCCGTCACAAGTCTTTCTTTCCGCCTAACAAGCCATTGTTTGTTTGTTTGCTAGTGGCTAGCTAGATAGGGACGACAGGCAAGTGAGCAGAGACGGCTGGGGAAACCCTACATACCTGCGCTTGGCTGCGGAATCCGTATGATGTATTTGCTTATATAATATTTATTCATGTTTGCACCTCATAGCATATCAAGATAACCAAATGAATTGAGGCGCGCGAGCATCGCATCAACCGTCACTCATGCGAATTCTGGGACAACACTTTTGGTGGTTACCGTAGTGCCTGGCGATTTCTCATGACGGGTATCAGGTGAAAACCGCGGAGCTCCGGAGAACGACTCGACTCTCTCCTGTCGTAAAGCTACTGGACGAGGCTGCAGACTTTGTGCAGAAGAACGAAGCGCTGACAAGAATGACGACGAAGTGGATATTGTTGAGCCATGAACGACTCCTTAACCAGTATGTTTGTCGGACATCACCAGTGATGACACAGAGCAAAGGATTCTCGATTCACAACTCGAGCAACGAGTACCAGTGCAAGAACTGCTTCATTGGCTTGGACACTGAGCAACTTGAAACATTTATTTGGTCCAGGCAGCAGCTCCCAAACCAATTCGAAAATATGTTCCTGTTGGGTCGGGTAACAACATATTTTATTATCCTGTTGGGTCAGGTAACAACGTCTCTGCACCTAGTACGTACCTCATGAGCCTGCGTGCCAAAGTGTATGAGTGCATTCGCAGCCACTATGCTTGCACTTTGTGAGGGCAGATATGTTTTCTTCGAAGTGAAGGTCTTGGACAGCATCAGTACAGAGCCTGGTGTGGATGCAACATCAATCCCTGCAACTCAACCATATGCTGTTGGATCAGCTGTAGAGTCAGTGAAGCCAATGAATTTCTGGGACAAGCAAGCATCTGAGTACACCCCCAAGGACTATAACATTCCCCCTGGTTAGCTAGCTGAGTGAAGGCTTGGCTAAACAGGATCGGACACAATCACACCAGCGCTCATATCTTACACAGAAATACCCCTTTCAACATTTGTACAGATATGTAATATACCGCAATTTTACCCACTTTAATACGGTGGTGTAATTGATGTAAAATTTCTTGAGACTAGATATCAGTAGTTGTGGATCAATTTGGAGCAAAAACATATTTCTTTAGAATGTTGCGGCACGTGTGATGGATTTCGCTGATCCCGACTCGTATCATATTCATGTCCGCAGAGGCAGGAAGATCATTGTACATGCAGCATAGTGGTACTGAGAATGCGGCTATTCATAGACCCATTGGCTTGCCATGTGGCTGTGCAACATGAGTTACTTGAGCACAACAGTTGCGCATGCAGAACTACCGCGCTACAAGATCTGGATCAGAAGAACTGTATTGGACAGATGTTACTACTGGAGGCAATACACTTTGTAGTAATCTGGCATGTTTTGATACCAAAAATCCATTCTTAGGACTGATATACTCTATTATGCGATAGTATTCTTGACAGAATAGATTTTCACTTGAAACCCATGTTAATTAAGGCTATGAAAATATGAGAGTTCATTCTTGTAGGCAGTATGATTATTATTCTATTATATGACCTCACTATTACCTATCCTCACTGTAAATGTATTGTCTTCATTTGA